TTAAAAATTCTCCCCGTCCTTCGAATTAGACTGAAAATGCGTTTCTCTGAAAGTTTCCACATTCAAGGATGAGGCAATCTGCTTAACGTCACTAGCCACTAATACAGAGAAGATAACACAATAGGCTTTTCAAGGACGTGAGGAATGCTCTACGCCCATGCTTCTCTGAGCTCTCAAGGCTGTTTATTGGGCCCAGGATAAAGGACACTGCAGAGTGTGTTTACAAAATTGAGTCAGTAATCAATCAGATGGGCACAGATGTAGTTTTGCAGATAATCAGTCTAAATGAATCTTCATGATCTAAGCCTTTTTTCCAACTCAGTCTTCTGAACAAAGCATCCCTGAACCACTGAAATTAATGGTGACGTGTGTCATTTCTGAATCACCAAGCTGATTTGCCATTGGTTGAGGAAAAATACCATCCAGCCTCGAATTATATTAACTGATGAATTAATGAGTATAACTTGATGTTTAAATTTTCTTTTTTAAGAACTATTTTTTTGGCTTAATTTTAATTTAATTAATTTATTTTAGTTTTTTGACACACTTCCCTTTTGAACCGTGTCTGTCAGACTAGTAAGACCCAAGTTTTTACTGTTGCTATATTACATTTGACATTGAACAGTATTTCCGTAGTAACAAGATCGGAGAGGTTTGCAAGCAGAGCCATTTCTACAATATATAATTTTTAAACTACAACAACGAATTCAAACTGTTTCAAATAAGAACCACAGTTCCCATCTTACACAGTGGCCTTGTGACCCTTGTTGTCCCTGTGGTCTAACAAAATCTGAATTTTCATAAGCAATGCTTTTTTGGGCTTAGACACTCGAGAAGGAAGATTCAGAGTCAGATTCAAACTTGTGTGTCCTTCATGAGCACCGTGGCCATTGTTGAGATGACCTTCATTTCGGTAACATTCCTTTATCAATACTTGATTCTTATCAACCAGATATTTTTGTATCCATCCCAGGCTGCTGATTGCTGTGCCTAGTCTCTCATATCACTGCTGTTTCTTTCTTCTCACACAGTAAAACAACTTCAGCAGCTCCTCCTCCTCAAGCTGGAGTCCGTACCACATGCCGGCATTTATTTTGTGATATGACGGGCTGACTGTACATCATCTACTTAAATGACAGCCTGTCTCAGGATTATATTTCATGATGTGAAAAATTAAAGGGGCCAATTTTTATAAGCACAATATTCATGAGAGCATTGTCTTGAGCAATGAGCCAGTCCACTGTATATTTACTCAGATTGGCTACTGATTCAGGATACCGAATCGAGAGAGACATTAAACTTGACTAATCAGGGGTTTGCACCAAGACATAAAGCTTGAGTCCAGAGGAGCTGTTAAAAGACAGAATGCTTGATCTTAATATTCATCAAGACTACTGTTTAAGATGCAGTACAATCACACATTCACACAGTGGGCTGTTTACACACATCTCTGATTAAAACCGATAAATAAAAGGTACACGGCTAGAATAGCTCGTTCGTTGGTGACGTCTAATTTAGATATTAAACTCGAGTATCTGGTGCATTTCAAAAAGTGTTTGTTTTCATTATATTCCTTTTCTTTGGGATTGTGATTGAGAACTTCCTTTTCCCCCTCTCCTTTTCCTTTTTTGTGGAGGTTCCTGTCCTTCCGCATTACCCGTGTTTTTGGAAAAGCCGAGGTTGACTGGGAGCCTTAGCTCATGTGTTAAAGCGGTAATTTTCAGTGACATTGCTCAGAGCAAGTAGGGATGTGTCATTGTCCACCCTTCACTGGTTACACAATACGGAATCTGTTGTGCTGAAATGAAGGTGATTCACTCCGTCGGGGTTTTAGGCAAGAGCTAATGGGCCCTGCTGACAAGTCGAGCCAGGGAACGAGGGATACGCCACAGGGAAACGTGTCCCCAATGGCCTAAATTCATTTTGATGACCGTCACTGATTACAGCCTATTTATTTCAGCCATGTATTACATGCTTAATTTGGTTTACGCTACCTGGATTGTCTGAGGTTTAACACGCTAGATGAAGTGTGTCCTAGAAAGCGGAAGTGTGAGAACTTAATATCTTTGATGTGCTGTCTTTTTTACTGCATCTACCAGACTTCTACTGCACTTACGAATAGGCTTACATTTTAATCTGTGCAAATTCTCCAATAAGCAACAACTAATCACCTGATTTATAATCAGACTTATGCTCATACGTTTAACAGTTTAGTATAATCTCTTGTGGTTTTCACATGATGCTGATTGTTCATTGATGCATATTTCAGATAAACAATTAAAAAAACATTTAGATTAGAAACATTAATTTATATGGAAGAGCATTAATATCCAGCACTTTCTTAAAGAGAGAGTTCACAAAGTAAGAACAATTGTTATTAACTCCCTTATGTAGTTCTAAAACTGTAATGAAACTGTATTGCTGTTTCTTTAGTTTTCATTTGCTTATTCCATTCTGTTCATAGTGAACAAAAAGTGACCAAAAAAAAGCTTAGCTCAACAACTCGAGTGCTATTTTCAGACTCTATTTATATGATTTGTGTGAGGAAATTTGAGTTACTGATAATCTTCCCCTCCAGTGAACTGTTAACATGAAAATTGCTTCAAATCATTGAGTCAGTGAGCTGAACTCAAAAAGCATATTAGTCTGATTCATGGACATCCTATTTAGTTCTGTTTGTGAACCAGATCAATCTGTTCATTGAAAATAACTAGCTCAATATAATGATCCATTCATGACATTGAACAAACTCAGATCTCAAGTTCAACTCACAGACTCGATGAGATCCAGTTGCAACGATTCACAAGGTAACGGCTCACTGAAGGGGAAAGTTATCTATTATATGACTTCAGAAGACCTAGGAATATGGAACACAAGTCATCTATTATTTGTTTATTTATCTGTGAATTGTAGTTCTATGCAAAAACCGCACTGTGGACTTTAAGAAATTGTTCTTTGGAAAAATAACAGAAAATAGGTTTGAAACAACGTCAAAAAGTAGTCCTTCCAAACCCAAGTTTGCTTGTTGCTGTTCATAAATTTCTCCAGCTGCTTTCACAGTTCTTTTTCATATTAATGTCTGTATTAACCTTTCCTTGGTATCTTCTCTAAGGCTCTTCGTCCCTCTCTGACATTTCCACGTTTTTGTCATTTTAATCAAACAGCTGCATCAGGCGCCTAACAGGCAGTCGGTCCATCCGTTTCCTGTCCCATCCCCCCCCTCTTTGACCAGACCATCAGCATCCCAGCCAGCTTATCATGGGGAACTAATTCAATATCCCTGTGCCTGTTTTAAATGTCATTGACTGAGCTCATCTGGAATGACATGTTTTTCATGGTGGAAGTAAAGGCGCTTTATTGAGCAGGGACCAGAGCGGGGGGATGCGGCTCCCCTTCGCTCTTCACGTTCGCTCCGATCCGAAAGGTCTACGAGCTTTTTAAGATCATTCGGTGCACATTCAGCGCAAGCTCGCTCATCCTGTCTCTCATTGGCTCTGTGAGTCATCACGCATCCTCAGCTGACATGTGAAAGTAGACTATGGCAAAAGTTAGATCATCAAATGTCGGTCTATCTGCTAGCATGGAGTGGTTTAATTTTGCTCTCTCAGTTTTATGTTTGGTTTAAACATTATTTCAGATATTACATTGACATTTTTATAGTTTGTTAACTTCAAAGATTTAAAAGACTAATTCTCCTTAATAGTACTTAGTTAGCCTAAAATTCTGTCTTTTAGTATTCACCTTTATGTAACTCCAAACCATTTCTGAAACTGGACAATTGAGTCAGTGAGTTGACATGAGAACCATGTCAGTCTAATTCAGGAACTTTTAGACTACTAGACTAGTTTTTGTGAACTGGATTACCTGACTCATTGAAAAGATCTCAAAGCAGTGATTTTGTTTATTTAGAAGACACGCTGCACACAAATCATATAGACTGCTATACTTTAAAAGGGTTTTTTTTTTTTGTTTATTGTTGAAATCTACGATATTCCTTAAATTGAACTTTTGTTTTCCACAGAAGAAAGAAAGTCATAGAGTACCGTTTAGTTGTGGATGAACCTGTACCTTTAAGATTGTCTTAAATATTGATTGACAGCAAAGCCCTTGCGGGTTCCATTCTGTGATCTCTCGCCACATGGGTGATGATATCAGTTAACCCATTGTACCAGAGAAGAGGTCCTGGTGTGAGGAATGGCCTAAAACCCCTGAGATGCACAGCATGGCTTTTTACCCCGACCCCTGCAGGCATGCCTGTATCATCTGGCCTTTTGCCCATACTGAGTCGTCTGCCTCCGATATCACCCCTGCTCCTTTCTTAACTCCCCCCAGCCTTTTTTAGCCCCAGCCCGAATGTTCGGCAGCCTCTGGGGTTGTGGGTCAGAGAATAGGGCAAAACTGGAAATGTGAGGGGTCGGCTGGGGCTTACTGTGGCAAATAGATGGCAATATGTGAGGCAGGATGAGTCAAATTATGTTGCTTTAAAAGATCCATTTCAAATATAAAGGGCAAATAAGCATCTGCTCTGACAAGTCTGCCAGTCTGGTATTGAAGTGGCCAATCAGAAGTGCATTTTTTACATTAGAGAGGACAGCGTGACCAAAATGTAACCCTAAAATGACAATTCTTGATTATTTATTTGCAAAAAATTTATTTAATTTATTGTATGTAATTATATATAGAATGTAATATATATATATATATATATATATATGTGTGTGTGTTACATTTTTAAAGAATAATTTTTAATATATTATTGTGAATTCATTGTTTTAGTTATTTCATGTTGCATTAATTTTGTGCAGATTAAAGTTATTTATTAATGTTAATAGTTAATATTATTTGTATTACATTAATGTTTCTGTGTAATATAGGTGTGTTAATCAACGTTTTCCCCAATGTCTAATTGACATTACAATTATGTTGATGAATTAGCTTTGTCATTGTGAATCATTATGATGCATGTAGTAAAAATCCATTCTCATGTGTTTTTCCCGTAGGGTTCCTGAAACCCCATTGCTCGATGCCACCTCAGAGAGGACGAGCAGAAGCATGCACGTGTTTCAGCGGAATGTGTGCTCTTCATCAACGCAGGCTTTCTACAGGTAACCTATGCATATTCAGAACTACACATACGCTTACGTTCTCCACAGAGCATAAACTTACAGCAATAACAGCAGTCTTTTGGCAGCTCTGTAGCTCCACTATAAAATAATCCTGTCTTTTTGTGTGCGCCAACTCTTCCCATGAAACCTTATGGTTCTTACTTTGAAGAACACTCAAGATACATGCATAAATCTATGCATTGAAGTCATGTTTAGAGCCCTAAACGGATTTCCACTGTGCTTGGCTATAACTCATGCCAAATATGTCTGGTCTTGTAGTATGTCTGCGTTTGCAAGAAACAAGACACGTCTTGCACCACATGCATACATATACAAATGCGCCAACTCTTCCCATGAAACCTTATGGTTCTTACTTTGAAGAACACTCAAGATACATGCATAAATCTATGCATTGAAGTCATGTTTAGAGCCCTAAACGGATTTCCACTGTGCTTGGCTATTACTCATGCCAAATATGTCTGGTCTTGTAGTATGTCTGCGTTTGCAAGAAACAAGACACGTCTTGCACCACATGCATACATACACAAATACACCCTCTAATCTGAATTAGTGTCTGGCTCCCTGCCCCCCTCCTTATGTTTTGGTCCTGCAGTGTGTGATTTGCAGTTTGTTATATTAGTTTAAAGGGCTGATGGACATGTTAGCAACCGGTCTTCTCTGAGGGATCCTTATGGGGCAGCATTACTGCAGATTCCAGCTGTGACCCTGTGGTATGTGGGGAATGGATTGCTGTTGGCTTGGATGTAAACATGTTTTGTTACATGACATTTATTGCCTCGTCTTTGCAAACATACAGCGCAAAATGTATAGTATGTGACCAAATGACTCGTATGAACTGGTTCTTCTCATGACTAATGAATCGATTCAGTTCAGTATCCTGTAGGATGGTGGTTCTCCTCTGGTTTTGTGTCTAGATTTTACATTGTGCAGCAAGTAATGACCAAACAGCACTAAAAATTTTCATCATACAAATGCAAATGTCCTTCCAAAAAAAAAAGAAACGCTGAAATGAATACATTTTATAGTTTTGGATGAGGACATGATATGCAACCTGTATATATTTTGACTGAGTTCAGCTAATTGACAAATTAATTTGTGGCAAAATACTTGATTGGACAGATTACTTTTAACATCAAAAACAAATAATATGTAAAATGTTTACACATAACTTTTAAAAATTGATAAGCTCATTTGTTTTGCTATTCCACATATGCACAATCAATATGGTTCCTTGCATTTAATTAATTGCATTTTGCATCGCTTTTTTCCCCATCTGAACCTATATGCAACCTTTTTTCAACACCAGATGAGAACCACTGCTGTATATGTATAACAGTGACCCCACACATGTGTCAAGTGCGTTGTGGGAGACCTCATCCATATGCTATTAAAATGGAATACCATTTTGATTCTTCTCTTTGATTTAGCTTTTTAAGAAGGATTGGTTTCGACAGTCACATCTTGGCGTATTTTATTAAATCCATTTTTACAAAGTCCCATAGGGTTAAATGTTTGCTCAGAAGCACAAGTTTAAGGCTCTTTTCTCCCTCATGTACCCATGTGATTGATTGAATGCATTTTTTTTTAATTGCAGTTTTATACTCTCTCAACCCTGAAAGGCACGGCAAGCATCTTTCAATAGCTACTACAGACAGTCCGCACACATCACTCACAACAAAGGGCTACTTATAGATCGTATACAAAGAGGATTCTTTGGATTAGTTGCTTGGAGCCATTCACACTGAAGTCATTCTATTTGTAAAAAAATTTAAATATTTCCGCAAACTGGCGTGGTGGTCTTAAAACGCTCCAGAGAACTTTGGCAACAGAAATGATTTTGCCTATGAAAATGATTTCTGTCTACATATTGTCTTTTCCAAAGCCCATAATAGAGATTGTGGAGAACCAGTCTTTAAAACCTGCATGGTGCTCAGCAGTCTGTTCGTGGTGAAACGGTTACTGTGGAAACCCTGCGGTCTGGTGTGGTGGCTAGCCTAACTGGAGTCGCTCTTTTATAGAAGTAGTAATAGCTGTGTTTCTAATTAGGGAATGTGTTTCCGTAAATCTCTTCAAAGCGAGAGGATGTGTTCCAGTCTTAGCTTGTTGCTTGTACTGTGGTGACCAAAGTCACACATTAGAGCAAGGAAGATGACATGGGTTCGTTGGCGAAGGAAGCAGGAAAACGAACGTCACCCGGGGAGATCTGAATCCCTGATGTGGCAGCACTTTGGCTTCCAGTGGTTTTACAGGTGCATCTCAATAAATTAGAATGTCGTGGAAAAGTTCATTTATTTCAGTAATTCAACTCAAATTGTGAAACTCATGTATTAAATAAATTCTATGCACACAGACTGAAGTAGTTTAAGTCTTTGGTTCTTTTAATTGGGATGATTTTGGCTCACATTTCACAAAAACTCACCAATTCACTATCTCAACAAATTAGAATACTTCATAAGACCAATATAAAAAAACATTTTTAGTGAATTGTTGGCCTTCAACATGAAGTATTCTAATTTGTTGAGATAGTGAATTGGTGGGTTTTTGTGAAATGTGAGCCAAAATCATCACAATTAAAAGAACCATAGACTTAAACTACTTCAGTCTGTGTGCATTGAATTTATTTAATACACGAGTTTCACAATTTGAGTTGAATTATTGAAATAAATGAACTTTTCCACAACATTCTAATTTATTGAGATGCACCTGTACATTGTTTCAGGTATTTTTTATTTTTTTTTTCACAAAATTTACCCTTATTGGAAAGGGACCGTGAGAAATGCAACATCCTCTTTCAGTTCCAACTTAGTTTCAAAGGTGTTCGTTTTTTTATTATTATTTTTTAAAAAGGAACGCGCTCGTATGAAGTGCGCAAGAGGGAGCACTTAAAAAGCGGCTGCAGAGGGGCCTCACAATACCGTCCTTGTGCTGCAATTTGGGCTTTTCTTGCTGCAGTGAGCAGAGGAATGGAAAAGATTATCCGCAGGAATGTCTGGGGTGCCCTCAAACACAGAGCTCCGCGCAACTGGCCAATGGGAGCGCTCGACCTAGTGGTGGGCTAATTTTTTCCTGATGAACTCAGCCGCCTGCTTCATAATGGAGTCTGATTGCCAGCGCTGAACTCACATATGGTCCATGTTTGGAGAGCCCCAATGACAGGACCACTTCTGTAGCGGGCAGAGGGAGATGATTGCTGGCTCAATCTTTTGTTGTTTCATTAGGGTTGGGTAAGGACGAGGGTTTAGTCAGGTTTATTTCGGACCACTTTCCCCTTCAGGTGTGTGGTTCTTTTTCTTTAATTATTCACTTTTTATTGACATCACTTAATTTAAGCTCCAGTTACGGCCCAAAGCCAAGCCTTATTACTTCTGGCCACACTTAATTATGTCGGTTGGTTCATGGTGCATCCCATGGCTTCATAAATTTTCCCAATTAATTTGGAGGCTATTTATTGTCCCGAGTTCTTGGAAACAACTTTTACAGCCCCGTTACAGCAAGTGGCGGTAGAATTAACCCCATAAATGACAAGGACAGGCTCGTTTTACTTGTGGTGAGTGTGTTTTAGCTCAGTGGAACATCGCCATCAGCCTACAGAAAGACAAAAAGGGAATGTGGTCAGGTTTCCGAGACCAAAGCATGTGTTTGTAGACCTTGTGGTCGCACGGGAAGAGGAAGGGGCAATGTGGGGTCAAAAGGTGAGGGAGGCCAAGGAAAGGAGCTCATTAACTACGACATGTTCAGCACTCCCCTTTTTTTAATTGGCTCTGGTTGCCGTCCACACACGCCCTCGCCACTTCCTGTTGGCCTGGGGCTGCCAGAGAGGGGCCTGGAAACTCCAACTTGTTGATTGAGTCGGACCCTTTATTCGCTCTCAAATTCATCACTACCCAGTGCACTTGCATTTTAATGGTCTTATTTATTTAAACTGTGCTTCAAAGGTAACCCAGTGGAGAAATAACAATTTGGCGGCCATTTTTTATTACTTTATGTCATGTGTACTCATGTTGGTTTATATTCTCATGGCGGGCCTGCAGTCTGTCATTATTTAGGTTGTGGCTGCCAAAAGGGTTTGGGCTAATTGGATTTCGAAGTTCATTTTCATCAGCTATTTGATAAAGACCTGGCGGCGGTCCTAAAAACTCCAGCCACCCACGGTATCCGCACCAATGAGTACATTCCACACGTCGGGACTGTAATAAGGAGAAGTGAAAAGAAATTTGATCAGAATGATCTCATCTGGGGAGACGTTTTACTTTATTCCCTCATCAGCCCCGTGTAAACACTGGAAGCAAAGTGGGAGTTGTGTGGCTCACTGTGATGGATTTTACCACATGACACGGTCAAGCATGTTTTGTGCTAATCTACCAGCTAATTGAAAGCAGATTGCTTTCATGTCCAGTGTTACAATGCCCATGCCTCTTGAAATGAAAATGATGGAGGATGCATCTGTGATATTGGCTTTAAATAGATTTTTTTTGGGGATCAGAGACGTCAGGAGCTGTGATCTATTAGCAGAGAGTGTAGTGTCTCTGTCAGAAGACAATGTAATGCAGGCCATTGAACAGACATTTCTAGAGCTATTATCCTTGATGTGATGAAGTATCTTGAAATATTCTCCAGCTCAGAGAAGAACACTGATTAAAATTAGAATTTGACGTAGAGATCAGTTTGACCTATATATATTACAGATATTTTACTGGTTATTGTTCTTTAGTATGATGATGATGATGATGATGATAATTCTTATTGTCACTCTATTCATAATAATAATTAGTAGTAGTAGTAATAGTATATTAATAATATGCCAATGGATGTGTAATAATTTATTAGTTGTATTAATAATAGTAATAATCATTATTGATACAACAATAACATTAGTATTAGTACTATCGATGGATAGATATATTTTTAAAGAATATGTTTTATGTTTAGTACTGTATTGTCATAGACGACCCCTTGTGTAAGATTTGGTACCATGGTGC